CTACTAGATTTGATTTAAAAGTGAGTTTCATGAGTAAATTGTTAATTTTCCTCTATTTCCAAGCAATGGAGGGTAATATTTTGTTGATGGTGTTTAAAATGTCATATCACATGATATGCAGAAGTCTTCCCCAAAACAGAATCACTCCTGGCATCATTTAAAACTCAACTTTTATGTGCCAAAGACTGGATTTATTCTGATTCTGAGACTAATATGTTTATTTAAGTAAGTTTCATTTTGAAAGAAAACCCTTTTAATGTACTTAGCATAAAATCCAGACACTGTCTGGAGCGCCCATCCCCTGCCCACTCCCATGCACACCCCATTCTGGGCATTGTCCTTTATGGAGCTTCAAGCATGCCAAACTCCTTCTACTTTTTTAAAATACATTTTTATTACTATTAGTTGTATAAGGAGGTTTAATTGTGGTATTTCCATACATGTATTTAAAGTACTCCCATCAAATCACCCTCCTCTATTACTCTTCCCCTTGCCTTCCCCCTTCTTAAGTTTCAATAGTTTTCTTTATTCTGCTTTCATACATTCAAATAAATAACTTACCATATTAACCCTTAAATCACTCTTCCCCATTCCTGCTGGTGTGCCCACCCGGCCCCCCTCCAGTAGAATCTGTTTTACTTTCCTGTCCTTCATTCCTTCCACCCCCCCACCACCCCCCCCCGGTTGGTACTATTTCTGGGTCTGCCTGAAGAACACCGCCCTACTTCCTCATTTATCTGTCCCTCGTCTTACTGTTTTGGGAGAACCTTTCACTGATTTCCCAGCCAAAGTTAGTTCCCCTCACCTACTCTTGCTCTTCATATTCTGTGGTTGTTGATATTTTGGGTTTTTTGTGGGGTTTTTTGAGCATGGGGGAAGTAACTGGAATTTGAACCTAGAGCATTGAACTTACTAAGTAGACAAGCATTCCACTACCTGAGCCACATCTGGAGTTGGCTTTTTGCTTTTTGTTTTTGCTTTTAGACAAGGCCTCAGGCTTTGCCTGGTTTAGGCTTGGACCATGATCCTCCTATCTACAGCTCCAAATCAGCTGGAATTGTAGGCATGCACAACCACATGTCAATTGCCTTTGAGAGTATTGCTTTTTGCCCAGCCTGGTCTCAAACTGCAATTCTCCTATCCACTTCCTGAATGGCTAGGGTTACCAGCATGCATCACCACAATAGGCCCACACTATGGTTTTTACTTTGGTTTGGCATCTTTTGGGACTATCCTGGGACTATCCTGGGCACTGTCCCTGAGCATTTTTGCTCAAGGCTAGCATTCTACCGCTTGAACCAGAGCTCTACTTCTGGCTTTTCTTTTTTAAGGGGGTAGCTTATTTGAGATAAGATTCTCTTGGAAGTGGATCTGAAGTAGAGCACTAGTCTAGAGCAAAGCAGCTCAGGGACAAGAACTCAAGCCCTGATTCTCACAGGCTTTGAACCATGATCATTGGCTTTCAGCTTCCTGAATAGCTAGGTTTACTGGTGTAAGCCACCAGCCTGGCCACACTTATGGTTTTTCAACTGTGTTAAAGACTTATCATAATGTGCACATGTGTAATCATTATGTGACTATTGGTTGTATGTGTCATTTAGGATTGGATATTGCACTTACTGTAGCCAGTTTTCAGAGCAGTGGGGATGGAGAGTGGCGGGGGGGGGGCATAGTACATTTTTCCTTCTGCAGATGTATTGGGTTTTGCTCAATGACAACACAGAATGTATCTTCCTCATTCACTGGTCTATGGATGTCATCACCGCAACCTGGCTAGGCTCAGTTTGGGCTGGAGGTGATGTCTCATTTCCTCAGCTCTTTGTCATTCCAGTCTGGACTACAGTGGAAGTGGTGATGACTGGGGAATGTTCCTGTACAGCTCAAGGCAGGCAATACAGCACAGGCAGAACAGAATTCAGGCTGCCTCTCAAAGCCTCCACTCAGAAAGGGCCCATGCTGGGCTGGGAAGGTGGCTCAGTGGTACAGTGGTTGCCTTGTATGCCTGAAGCCCTGGGTTCGATTCCTCAGCACCACATAAGCAAAAAGAAAAAAGCCAGAAGTGGCACTGTGGCTCAAGTGGTAGAGCGCTAGCCTTGAGCTGAAGAGCTGAGGAACAGCACCCAGGCCCAGAATTTAGGCCCATGACCGGACCCAAAAAAAAAAAAAAGAAAGAAAAGAAAGGGCCCATGCTCTACTGTCCCTACTCGATGGTCAAAACCAACAGGATGGCCAAGGTCAATGTGACAGAGAAATCAACCTACTCACCTGGAGAACCACAATGACCTGACATTTCCAACAGTTCCTTGGAGCTTCTTTGCAACCAGCCAGACCCTGGCACCTCATGCTTCACACCACAGGTCACACAATTGTCAGAAACGTGACAATTGTGTCGAGAGGTCATGGGCACCCCAGGTAAGGACCAATATGCTACAAATGCCCCTAGCAGAGTTGCTGGGCTCTGAGTCCCACTTAGCATGAACAGCCAGTGCTTTCATAGAGAAAGACTATTGGCATCAAGGCTGTCATGTCTGTTCTTTATTTCAGGAAGACTCTGGTGTTCACCCTGTGCCCTCATAATGTTCTCAGTATTGAATTCTAGGGTACCACTTGTTGCCAACTGATGCTTATTGTAAACCTCATGAGTGCTGGAAGGTATGTCATTAAAGATGGTGGCAGAAGGGAGGGACCTTCTATCTCCTTCCCATGGAGTAGTTCCCTTAACTCAGATTTAGTTCCATGGGCCCCATGACCAAGCAAGGAACTGCCAGACAGAGCCTCAGGGACATGCAGGAAGCAGAGTAACTAATACAAACCAAGATGTCAAGAATCATGTTGTTCCTTGAGAACACTTGAAAACTCTTTTAAATTACTTTAGTCAAATATGTCTCATGCCTATAATCCTAGCTAGTCAGGAGGCTCAGATCTGAGGATGAAGGTTCAAAACCAGCCAGTAAAAGAAAGTCTATGAGACTCTTATCTTCAATTAAGCACTAAAAAGTGGGAAATGGAGCTGTGGCTCAAGTGGTAGAGCACCAGGCTTGAGTAAAAACTACTAAGGGACAGCACCCAGGCCCCAAGCTCAAGCCCCAAAACAGGCACACACACACACACACACACACACACACACACACACACACACCACCACCACCACACCATACCACACCACTGTGGGGTGTGAAAAGAGTATGTTTTTTTTTTTACCATATTCAAAAATCACTCAGTAAGCAGATAATAAATACACACAGGATAACAGGCACTGGTGGCTCATGCCTGTCTGTGATCCTAGCTAGTGGGGAGACAGATCTGAGGATCACAGTTTGAAGCCAGCAGGGGTGGGAAAATTCATGAGACTATTATCTCCAATTAACCACCTAAAAATCAGAAGTGGAGCTGTGGCTCAAAGTGGTAGGGAGCTAGCCTGAGTTCAAGCCCCACACTGGCAAAAAAAAAAAAAATACACACACACACATGCAGGATGTATGGAGATCTTTATGTGTGTTGTGAAAGCAGGGGACAGCCACAGTGATAATGATTACTAACAGCCAGACTAGTTCACATACCAACTATAATGGCTGATGACATAACCCTATGATAGGGTAATTACGTTTTCCCTTAAACAGAAAACTTAACAGGATTGAAACAGAATTATAAAAGCAAAGGAGGAGCAACAGGGTATCAGTTTGAGAAGTATGAATTTTGGTGACAGCCTGGTTCTGTCCTAGAATCTATCTATGGCACTTACCTAAGTAATTTTTTTTTGCTTAATTATTTCACAATTGTTCTATCCGTTGTTTTCCTCCTTTCATCGAGTAAGAAATTCAGGTTTGGGAAAGTCAGAAGTTTACCCATTGTTTGAACTGGATCAGATATGCCTAACTCTACAGCTGGCCTAATCGGTCCCTCCCCTTTACCATACAGACCTGCTGACCACTGTGCTTTGTCAACATTTTTTTTAATGTCTACAAAAGCATCATGGGTTAATAGTACACCAACTGAAGCCATATAGAGTAGGCACGTATTTCTAAGTCATTGTTGACTTACGTACCTGCTCTAATTTCAGACATCGGATTAGGCGTTTTTACAAAACACGGTTGAAAATGAGTGCATCTAAGTGACTGTAAGGAGCCGTGACATTGCAGTCCGGCTGGGGGCTGCAGGGACTCCCCAGACCCTGTGTATCAGAACACGCAGGCTTCACCAGCTCTGGAGCTGTAACTTCTGAACAAACGGGGAACGTAAGATCGGTAGGCGCCCTGTTGCCACATCTCTCCTAAGGAAAGACAAATGAAATCCAGCGCTGGATCACAACCGATGGGGAGCCTGTGGGTGATGATCTGGGGTGCGGGGGATGTGGATTTAGCGGTAACCGCTCTCCTGAATGACAGGGTTACCTCTCACACTCCAGATCAAAGTTGGTCTGTTCGTGGGTTCGGAAACAAAAGCACACCGAGCAGCCGCGACCCCGCTGTTCCTGCACGGAGGCTGCCCAAGACGCCAGCCCAGGCACATGCCTGGCGGACGCCCGCGGCTGCAGCACCCTGTCCGCGCGCACCCAGGGGCAGCCCTGGCCCACGCACATGCACACGCACGGAAGCGCAGGCTCCCGCGTCCCCGGCGCAGTGCCTTCGCCGGGCGCGGGCGGGAGCGCAGGAGTCAGAGCGAAGAGGCGGGAGCTCCAGGCGGGGCGGGTGCCCGCGAGCGGCGGCGGCGCTCGTGCGTCGGCGACCTTGCTGCCGAAGCCCCGCCGAAGCCCCGCCCACGCCCCGCCCACGCCCTTCTCCCGCGCGCGGGCTCCGCGCGCCCCGAGCCAGGCGCGTGCGCGCGCGTGCGCAGGCCAGAGCCCTCCGGGGCGGCCCCGTAGACACACGGTCGAGAGCGTCGGCAAGGTCCCGGATTAACCCTTTCCGTCCTCGCCCACTTAGGAGGTCCGCTCGAGTTCCGTGCCTGCGCAAGCCGGCGGCGCGCCTTCCCCCCCCCCTCAGCCCGCACCGCGCATGCACGGGAAGGGGGGGCGGTGGGGGTGTTCACGGCCGGCTAGACATTCTGTGCTCGTGCAGGAGAGGGCTGCTACCATCAGGGACGTGCACGATTTTCCCCACCCCGCCCCCTCCCCAAACTAAAAAAAAAAAAATCCAAAACATTGCCACCGTCGTGCCCCCCCCCGGCCCCGCGTGCATCCCGGCCCGCGCGCTCGGGGACGCGGAGAGCCCACGGCGAGCGTCGGTGGCCGTGCCAGGCAGCAGGTAAGCGCGGGCGGGGTGGTGCAAAGGTGCCG